AATACCTTTAATATTGTATCATATGTACAGACAGTGTCTTGCCTCTTCACTTTGGAGATAACTGAATATATGGCAACCCAAAGTGTTTGTGAATTTGATTATATTGTGGGGAAATTTTACAGATAAAGTTTTCATATTTTCAATGCTTAACTTTTTATTGAAATGTTTTTGAAGAGTTATTTATTGAATTTCTTCATCTTTGTTATATTTCATAATTTGAAAATATGTAAGAATAAAGTGAGATACCTGATGTTGAAAGAAGGAAAACCATAATACATATAAATTGAAAATACAGTTCTATTTCATTTAAAAATCCTTGTACAATCATCACATTTTTTTTTTCACTTTATATAATATGATGATAAACCAAATACTGGATTTATTTAGATGTGTGTTCACATGCTTCAAATATATTGCAAGAATGTGAAAATTCTTAAATTTCACTTGCTTTATTATAGCTTCACAAAGTCGTTGGAACTTTGTGAAACTATAATAACTTAAATCAACTAAAAATAACTTAATTATTTTTAGTTGATGATGATATATTAAGAATTAGATACTTCATTGTTTATATTTAAGTATTATGGAGAAGTGTATAAAACTTGTAACATTGAACTTGCATTTATAAAGTGTAACATATTTTCATTGAGTTAATATTAAGTTAATAACCATAATTTGACTTATTAAAATTACATTTAAAACCTTATAGAAAAGTTTTGATTATTTTATGAAATAAAAATTTTTAACCAAAGAAATATTTTTTAATTCCACTCATTTATTACATATGTGAGATTAAAAGTAAAGTCAATTTGATGATACTACTTACTTTTTTTTATATCTTTAGTTATATCAGGATGTTGTAAAATTATATAACAGCATCCTGATAGAACTATAGATATTTTACAAGTTTAATTGGAACAAGCTTGTTTCCATTTAAAAATTGTTTCTAAACTTTTTATTGCATTCCATGTATAATAATACATGGAATGCAATAAAAAGTTTAGAAACAATTTTTTATTTAACTATAATTTAAATTTCCTGGTTTTCCCTTTGAAAATATAATATTCTCCTTTAAAATTTCCCATTAATATTTCATCCCCATTTTTTCCCAGTTGACTTGAAAAGTTCCCAATCTGGAAATGTATCTTCAGCACCTCGGTTTAATATGCCACAAGAAGGAACAAACTAGATCCCAAGCACGTTTGAAAGTTAAATAATAAATAAATACCTTAAATAAGTTTACTGGATATTTCATGTATTGAAGATCTGGTTAATATTCAAATTCAAGAAAAGTGACATTTACCCATCTCTAATTAATTTACATATTTTATCGTAAATTTTTCAACTTATATTAAAAATTTCTATTTTTATTGGTTTTAATATTATACATTCATAAAGATATAAGCTATGTGACACACACCAACAAGTAAAACTAATTGTCTTGCAAAGTTATTTAATAAATTAGTGCTTATCTTGTAATTTTTGCTTTATTTATTAAATAACACCATAAAATAGTTGGTTTTACATTTTGTTTACATTCATAAAATATACTTTTTAGTACTTTATTGGCTTCTGATTAGAATGAATAACAAATTTAATTCAAATGTAACTAAATATAAAAAATAAACTTATGTTTATAAAAAAGTTTTCCAAATATTCTATAAAAGGATATATAATATCTAGAATTAAATTTATAAAGTTGTTTAATGATTATTGATTAGTTAAATTATAATTAATGAGTAATACAATATTAAAAATTATTTATTACTCTAAATTCAAAAACATTGAAAAGCACAGCCTAAATTTAAGGAGTGTCCCAAGTTTGAATTTAAGATCTTCAAGAATCTGAATATAATGAAACTTTTGCTGTTTTTTTATTTTTGATAAATTTAAGCTATTAAATACATAATTAGAAGTAAATATTTATTTATTAATCATCTAATTTTTCTTCAAAATTGGCATATATATAAATTTAAATAATAAGGTAACTACTAGTGGTGTAGTGTAGTGGGAGTGGCAAAATTTCACAATAAATAATAATAATATCTTGTAAAAATTAGAACCATTTCATTTCATATTTTTGTCGCACCTACAATTCGGACTGATTGAAATGAGCATGGAATTTTTCATTACTTATTCTGTGACAAAACTGAATTTTAGTCTTAAATTGAGATACTTAAATAAGGGGGCAGCGAAATTTTCCTCCATTCTGGGCAGCTGACACCCACGCTATGCCACTGGTAACTACTGTATTTACTCAAATACGTGATGCACCTTAATTTCTACATTCTCACATGTGGGTTTTTCTAAAAATAGACAACTCGAGACAAATTTATATCAAAAGAATCAGTATTTATTGCAGTAAAGTAACTTACTTTACTTGCAATAAATACTGATTTTTTTTTATATATAAATGTCTTCTTTGGTATTGAAGTAAGAAACTTCTTCACTTTGTGTTAGGCTCTTCTGAAATACCAGATTCAATGTTCATATCTTCCTGCATACAATCATCTTCAGTGCTGTTTAAAGCATCAGAAAGATATAATTTTTTGAAAGATGCTGCATGACTTTTTCAGAATTTTCATTCAAGTAATTTCAATGTTATTGTAGCATACTAACGAGATTGAGCTAAGACGATCTCTTAAATAGTTACTATTATGAATATTAATCTAATAAAATTATTAAAATGACACAATGGAGTTAGTGACTTCTAGTGACAAAGTAATAAGATGTATGACGCTAGAGATCACTAATTATGATGTATTCATTTCAAATCTACATTCGGAGATACTAAAATCTGAAAAAGCGCATCTTACATTCAAGTAAATATGGTAATATCAGGTGATATTCAACAAAATGCTCATTAGTTTGATATTACGTTCAATCTTAACATTGTTTGATTTTAGATACCCATTTAACCAGTGATTCTTAATCTTATTCTCTGTCTGCACCATTTAAACATTTTCATTTGAGATTTTAAAATGCATTCTTGCTTTCTGAGAAAAATTTATTATTTACTTAACTTTAGATGCATCTTCATTAATATAAAGCATTAAGTCTAGGTCGGGAATTTACAATAGTAACAGTAGTATATATATATATATTTTTTTTTAATGTTAATAAAATAATATACGATGCTAAATCTAAATTATATTTTTAAAAAAGACACTTTTATATGTTTTCATTGAGAACTAAAATTTAAGAAATTCAATTAAATAAAGAAAGAAAATTTTCTTCTCAAAACAGCTGTTCTGGGATACAATTTTATACAAGATAATATTTATCTTGCAAGTCACACCTACATACATACATACATACATACATACATACATACATACATACATACATATATACATATATCCCAGGTTAAGAACCACTGTATTAATGAAACATTTTTGTCACTATTAAAGAATTTTTTCAATCTACTAATTATATTTTTCCTTAAATAAATTATAATATGTGAAAAATTGCTTATGTAAATTCAGTTGGTAATCTTAATAATTGTGTAGTTTTATTTATGGCTAAAGTTGTTCCAAACAGCACAATTCAAAATTTTGGATTATTTATTAAATCTTTTAAGACATAAACATATCCATTTTAAGTTAGGAGTGAATCTCAGAGTATTCTTTGGGTTCATACTTTTCAGTATGACAAAATAAGTAAAATTTGTGTTCCTATTCATTTCAGATAATTTATATTATGAAAAATGGAAACTGTGTTTATAAGAATCAGAAAGATATTTTTATTTGGATTATGCAGAGTAATCCAAATATCAGTTAAACAGGATACGTTTTAAGAATTCTTAGGTTAAAACTTGTTTGAAACAACTACTTGCTAACATTCTTAAAACATATCCATTCACTGACTTTTGGGCCACTCTGCCTTTAAAACAAAAATGCCTCAGAATTTTAATGTGGAAAGTATGGTATGTGAAAATTTTCACAATGTTTGAAATCAATATTTTCTTGTAGTTGTGATAAAAATTGTTTATTAAACTGTATTGATAACTTTCATTCAACTCATGAACACTTAATATGCAACCTAAATTGCTAATTCTTTTTTGTTATTTACTTAATTATTAGTTTAGTTTTTTACAAATAATATTCTACTTTATATATGCAAATAAGTTGCATAAAATAACACAGGATCAGTTGTGAAATGGTAATAATTATTTTGATTACATGCATACAAGTGCACACATTCATTCACTCACTCACACTTGCATACTCACTTATACACTCATACTTGTCTGGTTAATAATAAATGAAATTATCTTAAACATTTCATTATACTAAACAATATTTAAAATCTCTAATAACTTCAAAATTAATTAAAATTTATAAAAATAATACTAAGTTATATATTTAATAATGTAATTTTTGTTAAATAATAAATTTAACAATTGCCTAAATAAGTCCCATCAAACAAAATTTTATATTATTTATCAGATATTAAACTCAATTTATGGAATTTACACTGAATGTTTAGTAATAATTTTGAATGGAACAAGTTTGGTTATTATTTTATTTACTCAAAATATAAAATGAATGTGATATTCTTGTTATGCAGAATTAATTAGAATTAAAAAAAATTAATAAATTTCAAGTGAAGCATTTAAAAGAAGGAAATTTAATAACTTATTTTTTTCGTGAATATTCTGGAATGTCAAAGACTTACTGTCGACATGAAAAAATACATAATTCTGAATCAGTAATAACACTAAAAAAATTGGAACTAAAAGTTAACTAAGGATAATCAAAATTTCTAGAATATATATTCTCTGAATACATTATGTAATTTATAAAGTAAAGAATTAAAACACAGAATTCACTGTTTATATTTCATAATTGTAATGTTTTTTTAAAAATGGATGTAACATCAAATGTAAAACATATTATTGAAAATTAAACTAAAATATTTTTAGCATTATCACAGAAGGAAAGAGAATTCTAGACATGTTTATTTTTTACAAGAAAATATTTATAAAATTTGCTTTTCAGTTGGTCTCTCCCGAAATATTCGAACGGCATCTTCAGAGAAGTATTGCCGCGGCCGAAAGCCAAGCCAAAAACAGTTTTCATTGTAAAACGCCGGACTGTCCCGGCTGGTGCCTGTACGAAGACAAAGTCAATCTGTTTTTATGTCCCGTCTGTAGTCGTCTGAACTGTCTCACATGCCAAGTAATTCACGAAGGTCGAAACTGCAGACAGTATCAGGACGAGTTAGAATTCAATTCTACAACAAGCGACGAAGCCAAAAAAACCAAAGATTACCTCGATGTGAGTTTTTTGTATTTCTGTTTCTGTCATTTTAAAACAAGTTTTGGGAAAAAATAATTAGATCATTTTCAAATAGGAGATGTTAGTAAAAGGTGAAGCGATGAGGTGCCCTCGATGTCACATAGTACTTATGAAGAAGTGGGGATGCGACTGGCTGAAATGTTCGGTCTGTCTGACAGAAATATGCTGGGTGACCAAGGGTTGCCGATGGGGACCGGGAGTAAGTATTATTACAAGCAAGGTATTATATTATATTATTATTTAAATTTTTACTTGTACAACTTATTTTACTTTATAAATTATAGGGTCGTGGTGATACAAGCGGAGGATGTAAGTGCGGCGTGAATGGCATAAGATGTCATCCTAAATGTAATTATTGCCATTGATTGAATTCAAAGTTTTAAATTCATCATCATTGGAAAAGTTTTTATTATAGATCTGACTTTCTATTAGCATAATAAAATACAGAGAATAATGATTACTTTTAAAGATTTTTATATATCTCAGGACATCATCTGTTATCCATTTTGTTAATATTAAATATGAATTTTACCGGAAATTGTTTTGATGTGTTGAACTGCCATTTGATATTGAACTCAGGATCACTGTTTTTTGTTAATTTATAAGTTCATGCAAAAAAAATTTGAAAAAATGCTATTTTACAAAATCAATATTTTTTGTTGTTATTGATTTCAAATGCTTTTACTATCTCTTTTTTGTGTTTACAGATTTTAAAGTGTCAAAATAAAAATTAATTTAAAATATTCTCTTGTTTAAATGAGTTTTTAAAGAGAAAGATACTTATTTATGTTTGGAACATAATTAAAAAACTGTAAATTTGCCAACAATCTACAAACAAAGGAAAGCATAGCATACATTTTTTTCCCCTTCCTGTTTCTAAAACTGTCATCTGTCTTAACATCTGTTTTATAAAACTTCTTATCTATAGAGTAGCATCACAACATTGTCTAGTTATTTGGGACATTGATAAACTATTGTGCCCACTATCATTGCTGGTATGCTTGCCTTGTTAAGAAACAAAACAAGTTTTTTTTTTCACAAAAGCATTGGAATCCTAATTACCAAAATATTACTAAACTAATTGTTACAAACTGGCTTCTTTGTTTATATATTGTAAGATGTTCTGTTTCAAGACACAATTTATGATCTTGCTTTAAAATATATTTAAATTATAAATGACACTTTTCTATATGTAGAAAATCTAAATTTTCACAAAGCATATTACAAAGAATCTATAATTTTATGTAGGCATGGAATTTTTCATATAAATTTTGTTACACTGTTATGATAGAAAAATTTCCTTTTTATTTACATAATAAATTATTAAATATTGTTAAATAAATAACAATTTATTTATAAAATTTACAGACAACTTCACATTTTAAATTAGTAATTTTTCATTTTCTTAACCAAGATTGGGTTATAGAATTTTAATATTATCTATAAAATAATATGAAAATTATTTTTTGGATCTATTATTTGGAAGTATTTTTCTTTTGCAGGAAGAGTTATAATTTTCAAAGTTAGATCAAAACTACTTTAAAGAAAGTCGGTAGGAACTCCTCACTTTCAGATTGGTGATCATTACAAGAATATCCAAGATTTTCAGATTATTTGAAAACCATTTCTGTCAAAGACATCCCACATTTTAAGAACATAAACCATCTACTTAACTCATCAGTGAATTATTGATTATAAGAGTTCTATCCAGTCTAAAATCGGGAAGAGGAAGAAGCGGAGGGAAAAAAAAATATATTTTTGATAGCAGTGAGTCAATGGTGCAGATGGCAAAGAGGAAAAACAGTCGTCCGTGACATATTGTGACGTTTAATGGCATCAACGTAATAATAAGACTTTACAACCACAGGCCACTGTCAGAACGTTAAGGGGGAGGAAGTTTAACGGTAGTTTAAAAACCCACACAAGTCAACCGTCCTAACTGGGGATTTATAGAACGGGTAGAGAACTGGAACGAAACTAAACTCGTACAATCGATTGCGGTTTCGCGTGCTTTTGAGCGTACCCATTATTTACGACCGCTTTAGACCTAGTTGGTGTGATCTCACTCGTAAATATCCACGCGGGTGGGAGGCTTTGGAGAATTGTATCCCAAATCCTCATTTTTAATAGCATTTGCCTCATTGGTCCGTATCGAGTGACGTCGAGCGTCTGACAAACGATATTTGCATTAATACCTGCTATTACAATATTTAACCCGTAACACTCTGATCCGAAGCTTAATAAGTTCATAAATAGGAAAATGATCTTGTCTCTTAGGTAAAGGAATCGCTAATGTTTACTCTCATCCGATTCTATAATGAATAAACGTTGTGGGATCCGACGGCACCCATCATACATCTTGTATCATGAAAACTAAAAAAGGTGATAGTTTTATATAATAGTGCCTCCAATTTAAGGACAAACTTCCTCTTAAAGTAAAAAAAAAACAAAAAAAAAAACAATGTCAAGAATCTCATCGATCACGAACGAAGTATTAATTTTAAAGGTGGAATCAGAGAAGGTCGATTGGTCGCAGGTCATTTAGACAATAAGTATAGCATTAAAGGGAGAAGGAGTCCGATACGGACTTAAAGTGGAGCGAAGGTGAATGAAGGATATGGCGGTCCGGTTGTTTAAATATCGCACAGTTTTCTGCCAGAAATACGGCTAATATGTCGAGTTGGAGTTCTTCTGTAACGGGACCAATGGCCCGACTTGGTAAAGCCAGCCAGCTTACCGGCTAGACACTGTATGTCATCCTGAACAGTATTACAGGGATTACACTGCGTACATCGTTGTGATTTTATGGGATATCCATAAGGTCGTTGGCGGCAGTCTTCCGCCTGACATACCACTCCATCGTTCGGATTAGGTCGAAGGTTTTTCCTCCTGGCTACTCTAACCGACCAGCGGGATGGGATAACCCTCATTGTTTCTTTCTCCGTTATACTGCGATGGACCGGACAACTGTCTGTCATTCATGGTCCACAACTCTGCCGTATTGTCCACCGTCCTTCCTAGTGATAATCTCGGACATAATTCTCAAAATACTTTTAGTTTCATATAATAACTTGTCTCCTCAGAAATGGCTTTTATTTTCTTTCTTCTCCACAGGTCCTATTTTATCAAACAAAAACCTTCTTAAATTATTATCTCATCTTGCTCGCTGTATTAATGATGAATACTATGTATATATCGGATAAAACATATAATTTTTCATCTTTACATGTGTCATCTCGTAATTTCTTTTAACAGAAACTTATTTTTTATGGGTTCTTTGACTCGCTGTACTTACTAATAAGAGTATTGCTGCAGTCTTTGCCATTTATATAATTCGAAAGACGACTCGTAGACGTTTAATTGCCTCTGCATCTGTAAAAAATATTACAATTTAATTTTTTTATATAATTTTTTAAAAAATATTTTACAGCCTTATTTCACACATTTAAATTTAAGGAATGTTAAAGTTTATTTAATACGTTTTAAAATCGAATATAGCCTACGAAAAGGAAATATATAGGAAAACTAAAATGTTAAATTTAATTTTATAAAGCTTTAAGGTATATTATTCATTGTCGGTAAACATTTCGGGTAAGTTAAGCGTATTCTTTTTTTGTAATTTAATTTATTTTTCTTCTTTTCAGTCGTAAATCTTTGAAAATTAGACAATGGTACATGCGCTACTGAGAATTTTGTTTCTTTTTTCAACCGAAACGAAGTGAAACAAACAGATCCGAGTCTTCTTTGACACTGATCGAAATAGTTTTTCGAACAAGCGGAACTATTTATGGGGAGTAAAGTAGCCGGAAGTGTCGCTACACCTGCCGACATGAATGACAAATGGAGAATTTGCAGGATGACAATAGGAATAAGTGTAGTTAATTTTAGAATAAGTGAAATTATCTTAAAGCAATTCACTGCGGTCGGAACTTAAAACAAAAATTCCTAATTAACTTATTTATACACGAAGCCAAACGCCGACCCGTAAAAAAAGGGGGGCGATAGCCGGAATTTGTGATTCGTAATAACAGATGGCACCACGTTAATCCCGTAAAGACTCTCAATTCGCCGGCCGTAAAATATTACGTGACGCGTTTAATACTTTAAAAATTTATAATTGAATGTTTTAATTTTAGAATTAACCGATTAAATTAATTTCAATTGAGTAAAAAGTATTTAGTGCCGATATGGTACCGACAGGTGCGCCTCTTGCGGTTGACGTCGGAAGCTTTTTTTCGAAGTTTTCTAACCGAAAAGTTCGGCTGAATAAGCACAAGATGGCTGAAGTGTCAGTAGTAGGCAGCTGCCGGCAACACGCTTGTCTCGTCATTCACTATACATTAACCATATATCTCTCTCCATATTTTAATTAATATATTCATTGAATAAAATTTGCTGATCACACTTTCTTCACTCAAAAAAAATATATATATGTAGTTAATGAGTTTGTTTTATCTGCCGTAATCCGATTTAATTAAATACAAAAGGAAATAAACTACTTTCGAACCCTTTCGCGCCTTCACCTTTAATGTAGGCAGAGACGGACTAAGGCTAAAGCGGGCCCTAGGCAACATTGTAATTCCGGGTCTATTTTTAAAATTAAAAAATTAAAAACCTAATTTTTGGGGCCCCAAAAATTACGGGCCCTAGGCACGTGCCTAGGTTGCCTAGGCCTTAGTCCGCCCCTGAATGTAGGGATAACTTAGTGGCATCAGATATAAATACAGCGTAACACTATAACATTGTGAGATGACAGCGTATCTTATTGTTAATGGTAGAGTAAGAGTCCGAGTTCGATTTTCATTCTGAACGCATTTTATCTTGGTATATTTTACATTTACTAAATTTTAATAAAGACTAAAACCGGTTTCAATATGAAATAATTTCTAAATTTTTTTCTGTGTTATATTTATATTGGATAGTTCAACAACTTAACTGAATAAATAATATAATTTTTTTTATAAGAATAACTTTTATTTTAACATATTCAACTATAGGGTCAGATAGAATGCCAGCAAGGCTTTGGACAGAGTGACTTCAAACTCTCTCTTATATTTTTATTAATGCATGTTTAATACCAGAGGGATGACATATATCACTTTTATATCAAGTGTTTTGCATAAATAAAAATAAATAAAACAAAAAGAAACTTCAAATTTTGCAGCTAAATGGGTCCTAAATTAGTGAGGTTACTCATAAGTATAGACCCGACCGCTCTTGTTAAACTATAAAAATATAAAAATTAAAGTAAATTTTATCTATATTTAGCTTGATACCCCCTTAAAATGATGAAACAAGATTAAGAAAGGATATTTTTAGTTCGGTTAATATTATTTTATTTAAAAAAATTAAATTATCTGATTACGAAGTCTTCTAAATTTTAGAGCAAAACCTAATAGAAACGTCAGAAATATAATTTTTTAAATTATAAAAATCAATAGTCTCGGAAGAAAAAAAAAAAACTTTCCAATAGTTGACTCGAGGATTAGCTTTCAGATTAAGGATTAAAGTATAGAAATGTCTCTGAATAGTTTTTAATAGTAAAAACTGGTAGAACTTGTTTTAGAATAAAAGTTACTAACGTTGTAACTTTAAAAGAACAATTACATTATTTCTACTTTTACAGTCTCTTGTTACGATTTTCACATCACGGAGTACTTCCTTACATATTAGAAAGTTATCTGGAGATGGAATACATCAGACAATTCAGGACACGATCCGGATCACGTGACACAGATAGCGGAAATATCTGATCCTGCACTCATTGTGCGCCTAATCTATCCCCATAAACTGGCCAGGAAATTGAATTTTTTCTTTCTTTAAAAATGACTGTAAAAAATTGACAACAATAAATGAGTATAGAAGAAAGATTTCTTTAGTTTTGTCGAGTCAACGAAAGCGCTTTCAACTGTATTTTTCTCCAGAGAAAACTTGGAAATTGAATGAAGAAAAATCATAACACAATAAGAACAAAATGGTTATAATAATATTACAACGATTTTCAATAATTAAAAAAAAAAAAAAAGAGTGAGAGGGAAGGGTTCGGGTTAGATTTCACACCTCATTGTTTACGTACGACCCGAAACGTAAAAGTTAAAACTAACTTTAGGGCTACCTGGGGACACGCGTTGTGTTAAGTGACGAACGACACAACAAAATCTGACAGTAAAAAGTCTCGTGTAGGCATTAAAGTAAAAACGGGATAAACAATAGAGGAATTAAAGGTTGGAAAAAGGAAAATAATAGCGATACAAGAGACAATTACCGCTAACAAGTGAAAAAAATGTCGTCATGAAAAGCTATTAACAGAAGGGCCGTTGATAGCTTAGACACAAGAGCATGTTTAGTATCGCCGATACCCATTAGGTGGCGTTGTAGGATCTTTCAGCGAGCTTGTCGGCATTTTACCGATACCATCTCCACAGAAATTCCGACTCTGTCGGCTCCTGATGTATTATCGCCAGCCGGCACCGAGTATTTTTATACCTTTTACACGTGATAATTGTGTTTACACGCAGAAAACCTTCTGACGTATTTCACTTACCGTTCTAATCGGCATTCTTTCACCGAATTCCTCTTTCTCGATGTGATTGGTTGCTATTTTCAAATCTCTTTAAATTAACTAATCGAGCGTTAAAATAGAATTTTACCTAACTTTTGTGAAGAAAAAAAAATAATAAAATTCGAAGTTGGAAAACTTATAAAAGTTGTTTAATTTCAGTTGTTTAAAGTTGCCACTTAAAAAAAATTGTGGAAGAGGAGGGAATTGCGTTTTTTAATGCGTTTTATTGACTTCAATTGCATGGTTTCTGAAGACTTTCATTATTTTTCATGCCCGAATTTTTGTATAAAAAGAGGATTTTTAACCAATTAGAAAGTTTGGCAGATGAATTTTTGTTGTTGGGAAGTTGGTAATGGTTAAAAGTTTGCAAAGAGGGACGAATCAGTTATGAGGAGAAGGCATGGACACTATTGCATGTTATCTCGATGTCTGCGAAGATTTGTGTTGTGCCTGATATAGTAGATAACGGCACGGAATGTTTTGTGGCACAAACACTTGATTCTTTACAGAAACGCACATTATACATTCCAATGTTAAGGTATGTATGTTCTCTTAATGGCGTCGCATCTTGTTCACAATTGCACATACGTGACAATTTTAAAGTAGATATTAATTACTTCGGGCTATTACGGATGCCATATAAACACTTGTAAAATTAAGTATATAACCCCGCTTATAAATTTTTAAAAGAATTTTACAAATAAATTCTACTGCAAAACAATATTTCTTGTCAAGTTCCAAAAGTTGGCTCTGGAATGATGGAAGAATAGAATATGTCCTTTAAAGTTGTTTACTTGCATGCATATCTAGAATGCTATATTTCACTTGAAGTAACGGGAAAAAAGAATAAAATCTCAGGAAATAGAGAAAGTAGATAAAGATCTTACTGTGCAATAGGTCAAGAAATTTCTCTGGGTTGTGAGCTAGTGACACAATATACTGCCTACTTTACTCCTTAGTGTGAAGAATGGCTTTTGTTGGCTTGATGTTTAACTGCGCAGATAAAGAATTTTAATAATATTTCATAAAATATTTCTGCACAAATAATATAATTATCAGTTTTAACTCATAATATATGATTTATTAACGCTTTCCACTAATCAAATTCATGTACTAGGAACTTATTTTTGATTTAATCGTCGGCAATGTTTACTCCACAAATAATAATAATGCACTTGCATTATTATTTATAGGCTTTATAAATGCGTACAAAAATTCTATATATATTTTATTTATGATATTACCGAACATACTAATAGGCCTAAATATATATGTGTAGTAAATTGAAATGGTAAAATCGATAGAACTTCCTACAAAGTACCACAAAAATATCAATTTATATATATTTTTTGGGGGGTATTTTTTTATGTTATCCTATTGACTAATCAATACTTTTGCTATACAAAATTTACAATAATATATAATTAATTACCGTGTATTTTCTATTTATGAACACTATGCAATAAAATTTATTATTGGTTAAAGCGAATTACTTAAAGAGATTTTCGTCTCCAACCTCTGTAACACACAATCGAATATAACAGATAGTTTTGTCTTAGACGTGACATTGGCCACCTTTCAGGCGCCAGCTGACAATAAGACGTCAGATGGCTCAACACGTGCTAATTTTACACAACATATGTCGCAGAATCACGTGTTGTCAAGATGGCTTCCAAAACTACCTGAGCTTGGATTATACCCAGGAAAACAACAGGTAATACTTTCTTTTTTATTTTATTTTCTTTTGTTTGTTTCTGTAATTGCAATTCAATCTTATAATATTAAGTAAAATATGTAGTTAGTCAACGGTCGATATCTTATCGGTTTCAAAGTTTTATTTTTTATTACAACCGTAAAAGTACTTTGGCAACCATTTTAATTTTCCTCTGGAGGTTTATGGAAAAAGATAGGTTTTAAAGAGATCGATTTTGTGAAAACAGATAAAATATATCACTCTCTTTGGTAAGGAACTGTATAAACTTCGAATGATCCTATTATTTTTATCTTGATTTAATATATATATATATATATGAAAGAATTGAAATGAAATGATACTTGCAATGTATAGAACTATTTCACTAACTTATTGATAATTATTTATAGATTTATCAAGAGATTAAATCGATTTATAAAAGTAAAGATTTATCTTCAATGGAGTTAGAATAAACGTTACTATCTTAATTAACAAATGCTAATTTTTTTGTAAGAATATTTTAAAATTTTGACCGAAAATTAACTCTTTGTATCATATTTAATCGTGTTTCTATATCATTTATAAAATTTAGAATAATTATTATGCTCTAAACCTTAATAGGCCGTTTAAATCACTGTCAATCTAAAGATGATATATAATGTAAACTAATTGGATTACTTAAATGAGATAAAGTCGTTATATGTATGACGCGAATTGGAAAAAGGGAGCTTAGGAACTCTAAATGGTTCCCTACAGAATACATAAATTAATATTACGATACTAGATTACAGGAAGCTTGATAGACATATTCGTTTTCCGGTGCGTAACCATACAAGTACGGGTTTAACAATATTTTAAATAGCATCAATCTATCTCATTTTTATTAATTAATTAGTGAATACTTTATAAAGATAAACTACTTAACAGATATTTCTTACAAAACATAAAATTCTATTATTATTCGGAATTAAATGTAAATAAACGATTGGAGGAAAGATAAAGATCATTACTTCGTTCGACAGATTAAGTAGAACGTTGAACGTTAAAATAAGTTGTATCGAAGTTCTCACGTCGCAAATTTAGTATAGTACAGTATTAGCTCATATATATACATGCATACATAAGAGATAATTTAGTATATAGGGCGATTTAATATGTATAGATACACACACATTTATAACTTATATATATAAACACACAGAGAGAAAAATCGTGCTAGCCAAAAAATATCTATTTATGATCTTAAAAAATATTATCTACAATGTGAAAGTATTTTGGCATAACTTTATAAAACTATATAATTAATTTTTAAAAATTTCTCTCTCTCTTAATAGTTTATAAGGTGTATAAATATCTGGTACTTTTTATTAGAAAATTCATATTATTTTAAACTAAAACTAAGTACATTCTTATTTTTTTTAATTTTGAAGTATTAATTTTATGTATAGATATAATTAAAACTATTATTATAATTAAATAATTAAGTTACTAAAAATTTTGGGCGTTAACTGACTTTGGAAGTAAAGTAGTTTCCTCGATACATAAGAGATCGGAATCAGCATTTTATACATTAAAATTTTAAACAGGTCAACAAACACAAATTTAATAACAAATATATACAGTATAGCTTTAGTTTATAATACAAAATCCTTTCTTTAAAAAAAAAGAAAAAAGAAAAAAGAAATTCTTTATCTAGAGAGGTTTCAAATAAATTCGTGCCGTTACAGGACTGGAATAGAAACCTTGTCATCCAGAAAAATTTCAACAGTCCCCCAAAGTTAGACAAATAGACATAGTTCAGTCGGGTGATAGGATAGGCGCCCTACATTAAAAAAGGGACGGAGTTCTGATAAAAAGACAGAGAAACAGGACAACTTTTTATCGGACCTTGTCACCATAAGTCAACGTGGATTCGTTTAGTATGGAAAATAGAAAATCAAAAGAAGCGTGAAAACTTCGTTTCTGGTCAAAATGTCGAAATAGATATGAAAAATAAAAAAAAAATTAAAAAAAAAATCTCTCTCTTCTGTTGATTTCCAGTTTTGCATATCGCTCTTCTGTTGTTCGGATCTAGAGAAATCTCTCTCTTGTAGCTTTAATTATAAGATTTAACATATTTACATACACCAAATTCAAATATAAACATATTTCAATTAACTTCTACATTAAAAATTCCATAAAGTTATGAAAATGCAAACATTTATTTAGAATGTATTAATTGAAAAGGCGAGTAGGAAAGTGGTGTGAGTGGTTTCCTTTGTTAAAAATACAAAAAAAAATCTATTTGAAAAAATGAAAAAGTAATAAATATAGGTAATATGCAAATAAATATATTTGGTTAAAAATCATATTTTATTAAATTAATGTTAAATTATATCACACACATTCAAGTTACAACTACTTTTCATCTAACTCCTAAATTAGTCTCCCTCTAGCTGTAAAGTACACAGATATTCATTAAATCATATAATAAATTTACTTGTTATATTATCACTTAATAAAATATTAAAAAAATAAATAAATTCTGATATCTTAAAGCTGAAATAATTAATTTTGTTTTGAAAGAATTAAACTAAGATATGTTTTGTAGCGTGCAATTACTGGGTTGAAAGGCCTACAAAACATAAATATGTCGTTAAAAATATTTCGTGATCGTTTAGCGAAAATAAAATAAAGATTTTGTTTATCGAGAACATTTTTAAGCAATCACATAGTCTCGATGTCAATCGACGAGACACGCTTTCAATGTGTTTCACGTAGCAACTCATTACAGCATGACCACTGAGTTATGACGTCACGTCACGAACTATAACGTGACGTGGTTTTCTATCCCATTTACACGATGAGGCGAAATTTCTGAATCACGAGATTAATTCTTACTAAAAAAAAACACGATAGTTTAATTAAACGAATGCTATTTACTTCTATAATAATTAATGTGAGAGGGAATGTAATTAGACATATTACAGGGAGGGGGGAATAAGATTTTTGAAGCGGTTAAAGAGAAAAATGACATGATTTTCTTCCTCATAATTTGACTTTTTCAAGACAGTTAAGAAAAGATATTCATCGTCGCTCACTTCTTAAGGGTTCCGATCGGATAGGAGGACTGAGGTACCAAATACGGCTCGAGGCGATAAGCCTTAAATGTAGAACCATTAGTTGGAATGGTAGATAATGGGTTTGGACATTGTTTCGTTATGGTGTACGTAATAAACGTGAGTGGCCAAGTTTTAAAAGTGGTCACTTTATCCCTTTACGCCGCCATTAATAGAAAACTACTTTCAAATTTTATAAGAAACTTTCATAAAATTGATTTAATCGACTTTTTACATCTTTAAAAATTCTCCATTAGCCTAATTTGATTCGCGTGAAGCATATACACGTCTATTACTTTACTGATTATAACCGTCTAAAATTTTTTCTAAATTACTTATAAGCTAATTTGTTTCATCTCCATTTTTTCTATTAAGTTCTATTACACTTATACCCCTGTAAAGGGGGCTTGTCTGGAGATAAAGGAAAGAATGAAGGGAAGATGTCACAGGAGTAAATGTTACAGAAGTTAACATTATGTAATGGCTTCTGCCCTACTTATGTCCAAAATTGTTAAAATATGAAGCTTTAATTCGGCTAATTAACGCTTCGTACTTAAAAAATAAATTGCACGCAGCTATCAGGTAGGGAAATTTTTTTAATATATTTTTTAATGCATTCGGCAAATTGGCGCAATGTTTCTTTTCTTTTAGTGTCTATCAATAGTAAACTTTTCCACATTGCCTTTACAGTAAAAGGACTTTGTTCTTTGTTTTAAATAACTAAATTTAAAAAAGAAAAAATAAATTAATCGGTTTCTTTGTAATCTTATCGAGGAATTCCCTAAATAGCTCTCTATAATGAGTCTTTCGATACGTCATTAGTTGCGAGTCAAAATGGCGTCAAATATAATTCCTATTGTAATTAGTTTCAAAAATGGCGGCTTTTGTTTTAAGACTGTCGATTTCCTATTCCTGAAACGGTTCCATTGTTACTATGAAAATGTGCCAATGATATGAGTGACAGCAACAGTGGTGTAATTCCACCTTAGCTAAAGGTGATATATCTCGTTGGCAGCCATTGCTCTCATTACTTGAGTACACATTCGCATACTTTACTTCTTCAACAATCTCCAGGCACGTTTGATAAATACCTATGTCTAGTATCGCGGCGTTTTCCTATCATTCTTTGTCAGTCTTTTTTGGTGTAAATCAACGATGTCAGTCGTTTCTTTCGCTTCAACGAAAGTCTCTTCCATTCAACA